TAAGTTCAATATTTGTTTATGATCTAAATTTGATCATGTTTAAATGTCCGATATCGAGATTGTGCTACTTAATATTTTAATTTTAATTATATAAATTATTCCTTTTATTAATTTTATTAATTATAATTATATAAATTATTCCTTTTATTAATTATAATTATTAGCAAGTATTCTCACGGTTTTTTTTTTTTTTTTTTTTTTTATGATCTCACAGCTAGTCAATGGATGGGCTTAGAATTTGCTGACAAATTAAGGTATATACTATTCTATTACTAATATTCAGTTTTTAATTTTTTTAATTTAAATGTTTATTTATTATAATTTAATAATTTAGAGCATGGTTATGGCAGAAATGTCATCTTGTAGAGTTCTTTCAATTTGAACCATTCAAAGTTTGGCGGAAAATACAAACCGATTCACTAATATTCCGTCTTCGTCGCCGTAGTGAATCTTTATCCACCAATGGCTTAATTCCTAGGCCTCCTATTACTTCAGAACCACCAACAATATTTTTACGATACATGAATCGCAAAGCAACATTACAGGAGACTCTTAAAGCTTATGCAAACTTTAATCCAAACAATACACCCTTCGATAAAGATATGCATTGTAAAATAACACCACCTTATCCACACACTATTCTTCCTTCTCCTACAAGTTCTTACTCATTTACGTTCTTAATGCCTACCTCCGCCGTTAGCGCATATCTTCATTCGATAACAGCACATCTTCCTTCTCTTTGTGATCATTCAAGTATGAAACCCACTTGGCTTGAATGCAATCCGTTGATTTGGCACAGAGGACCAAATACCAATCCGGTATATGCTCTCGTTGTTCGAACATCATGGGCATATTCTAAATTCGGTAAAGAAGTATGTAGACGTTGGTTACGACCAGTATTTTATTGGAATGGAAAAAATGGAGGAAAAGAAGCAGAATTTTGGCAAAAAATGGGGGATGAACTTCGACTTGAAAAAAAGGAAAGCTCTCCCGCAGAAGCTTA